TTAAAAATGAAAATAAAATTAAAGTACATCAGATTAAAAATTTAAGTAAGTAGTACATACTTCAAAATTTATCTTCAAATCACTATTTAGAAATAAAAATGCTACTATCGGCAACCAGGATAAAATTATTTGGTGTTATCCAAATGCAATTTACGATTTCAGTTCAAAAAACAAAAGTTCACAAAATCCAGCATTCAGAACTTTTAGATATTCTATGAAAATGCCATAAAAAGCTATTACTTAGAAACATATTTCCATCTACAATTCTAAGGAAAAACTGATGTCACAACTGTTTAACATCAGGCTTTTCGAGGCGGTTGACGAACTTGTCCAAAAATTAGGGAAAAAATACTCTCCCAAGTATATCATATATTCTTAATAAAAAATATGACTAATCTTCTTATTGAAAGCCCAAAGTTATATCATAGCCACAAAAAGGCCAAACTATAAGCTACAAAAATAAAATAATAATTCAAATTAATTGTTTTTCTCCAGTGACGTCAACAAAAAATTAAAAAAAATAATAAAAGAAGCGCCAAATCTCTAGCCACTACATCACGGAAAAGACCAAACTATAAGCTACAAAAATTAAATAATAATTAAAAGTAGATATTTTTTCCAATAACATTACTGTTAGACGTATTTTCATTTTATTATATCTTTTAAAAATACTATGAAAAATGCCACCTATTATTTGGACACATATTTCCATCTACAATTTCGAAGAAAAACCGATGCCACTACTGCTTAACATCAAACTTTCCTAGGCGGATAATTAACTTGACCAAAAATTAGGGAGAAAACATTATCCCTTATGTAGAACTATATAAAATATATCATATATTCTTCATAAGAAATACGAAATCATTTTCTTATTGAAAACCCAAAGCTCCAGCCACTAAGCCACAAAAAGGCCAAATAATAAGCTACAAAAATGGAATAATAATTCAAAGTAATTGTTTTTCTCCAGTGACGTCAACAAAAAATTAAAAAAAATAATAAAAAAGAGCCCCAAAGCTCTAGCAACTACATCACGGAAAAGACCAACCTATAAGCTACAAAAATTAAGTAATAATTAAAAGTAGATATTTTTTCTAGTAACATAACTGTTCGGACGTATTTTCATTTTATTATATTGGCCATGAAGGTGACAATCTTCATGGCATTGAGCTTTTACGCGGGATGGTTGCTACCTCTGATAGAGGGCGTAGCGTAGAGTTTGATAGGACTAATCCTAGACAATATAATAATGGGACTAATTGTTCACTTCAAAAAGAAAAGTGTTTAATGTGAAAACATGATTAATAAATAACCAATAAATATATATCTTCTTTCATTATAACTTAGTGACAAATCAGGGATTGTAATAAGATCTGCAACAAATACAAAAACCATACAAAACAGCTACAAGGGTTAAATTATAACCCAACAACCTGAGTTAATTAAAGGAAAGTTTTAATAAATTTCATAACTATGGTGGCGGTATACAACAACAAAAACTTAAAAAAAATGACATCTTCATTTATAATGCAATGCTGCCGTGTATCCAGAAAAAAGTTCCTCATATTCAGCAAATGCTAATTCCCAAAATGTCTATTATTCGCCAGAAAATCTTAATAATTTGATAAGTATACAATTTAGATATATCATTCATTTCTCTTAAACCAGAACACTAAATAGTAACTAAACAACAGTTATTTTTCGCAGTTTTAAATAATGTGAGATCAGTAAATAGTAAATGGAGCCATTGGAACAGTACACACTTAGCGTTTGAATATAATTTGGGTTAGGTTTATTCACAAGCATATTAGCTCAACACCTTTGTTTTCATATAGAACAGAAATAATATCATATCTTATAAAAAATAGAATTCAAAAAAAAATGTTTATAAAATATTTTAGATTTCTTTGTTTGCGCACCATTCCATAATTAATATTTGAATAATGCAGTAGAGAGTATAAAAAATACCAAAATAGATAGACAAGAAATAAACAAAAAATATGCATAATTGCATTCATATGTGGAAAGTAGAATACATTTATTTCCTTGCCATATTTCCCTAACCCCAATATTTCCATACAAAAATAGCTTCGATTAGCGCTGTTTCACATGACGCTTTACTATAATGAAATGTATTACTGTATAAGTTTATTAATTTAACCATTTTGATTTTTTTTATACAGGACGTCATAAATGATATATATTTTTCCATTATATTATTAAATAGTTACTTACCACCAATTAGCTGAAGTGTCATGTAATAAACTCAAAACCATATTTAGAACGAAATAAATATTAGTGCGACACCGATGCTTGTGAAGCAAAATCATCTTTCCTTCATTAGCCAATAGATCCGGGTTAAATATATTCACCGTGTGACCCCTTCATCTGAAAATAAACACAAATTCTTACGTCACAAATTTAAAAGTTGCTAAAAGCTAAAACTTAAATTGCATTGTTTATTGCTTACATCTATATGCAATTTAAACGCTAAAATCAGCATTATTTTTTTTTTTTAATCAGAAATGTTGATAAAATCTACAAATAAGATGATGCACTTGTGAATCACACTTACAATTAAGAAAACATCCGTTCATTTGCAAATTGTACTGATCGATTGTTCAATTAAGAAAATCCGAAAAATATATAGACAATCAAGCAATGGAGTATTAAAGAGCACTAAAATATTTAAAGTAAAATGAAGACAATGAACTTTCTATAGCCAAAGTGATCTTATGGGGACTGCGATGTGACAGGCAATAAGAAACTCTCCATATTATATATATATAATATATATGCATTCTCTTTCCCCTTCCGTTTCTCACACCCCGCTCCCACTCCTTCACTACACTTGCTTTGTAACCTTGATCAGTGTCCATAGTGCTCCGCTATTAATAACATAAAATATAGGAGGGCAATATGTGCTCCTTCAATTTCTCGTTTGTTAATATGATAGTATATTATTATTTTACACAAATTTAGTGTTCAATCAATTTTACATCATAATTAATTTTTTCTGTTGTTTTTCCTGGTATATATATTTATATTTATTATCAACTTTGTATTTATGTAATATGTTTTATAGATTATTGAATGATGACACACATCAAGTGTCGAAACGTTTAATGGAATAAATAATTTTGTTATTTAATCTTTTTTTAATTCGACGATTGGGCTGCAAAAATATTACAAATATGTATCAACGTCGACAAAACTATCATAATATATATGTATATATAACACATACATTCACTGGCACCTAAATGCCGTCCTCTATTCTTACTCTTTTATTATTTGTTCACTGATAACAACCAGAAGAATTTCATTCCAAAACAAAGTTGTAATAAAAATATAAGTTTTTCCTTAAAAAACAAACTAAGTATACATTCCATGCAAACATACATACATGTTATATCTTATATCTGCGAGTATGTATATAAAGAAGCGTAATTTGCAGTATTTTGTAGTTTTATCAAAAGCGATTTGGTAGAACTAAGCAATCCTAGAGGAAGATTCTAATCTTTAAGAAATATTAGAATTCTCCGTCGTAATAGAAAACACGAGCAAAATGAAGAAAATATTCTTATATGCTTATATAGCAAAGTGTGGAGAATAAAAGAAAATATCAGAGGCGTAGATTTAAATATTTTTAGTAATCTACAAAAAGTATAAAAATTGAATAAACGTTTAAAATTAAATCTGCCAGGTGCTTAGAAATGAGTCAATGTGTTATGGAGATTTAGTGGGTGGTTTTGAAGTACCACACAGAATATTTGATTTTAAGCTAACAAAAAAGTCCCATAAATATGACTTTTAATCGAGTCTTTTAAGCATTGTACATGATTTATCAGTTTTAATAATTAATTGTAATGCTTTTATATCATAATTGAGTAAATAGTCAATCAGAATATTGATACTT